ATAATGACAAAAAGAGAGAATGAATGCTGCGTTTGACAGGTAAGCGAAATTTCTTTATTATTTGATTTGAATATTGAGTTTTAGAAGAATTTAGCGAACGTGACAAAGAATGTATATGCGTATATTTACATTATCCTAGTTTACGAAAGGGGGTGTCAATATATGAAGTACACAATGTACCATTTACTATTTAACAATAATGAATTTTAATAAATGAAGTGACACATGAATGAATTTGAGAATGAGATAATAACTCCATTATTTCAACTCATCAAAACAATATGTATTTCTTTAATTCCTCTTTCATTAATCAGCTACTAAGGGATAAATAACTGTCTCTTAAGGGAAACCTTGTGTATAAAATTGCAAATATCGTTTTGATAAAAATTTGATGTTTTACTTTTATTTAATAACATAAATCTTTGTTAAGTTTTAAAACAAATATTCAAGAGACTGCTAGTATGATTATTCATCCATCTTGGAGTTCTTACGCTACAGCTATAAAATTGGTGGCAGTGATGGGATAGGAAATCCACGAAGAAAGTTTACGGATGCCAGTCCGGATAAAGAGGGACATCAGTCCCCTGAATACAACTAACTCGTCTTTAGGCGGTGTGGATCGGAAATCCACGAAGAAAGTTACAGATGCATAAAAAGGAACGTTAATCTCCTGAACTCAGCTCAAGTTGTGGGGCAGTTTTATCCAAGTATCATCAGTATTTTGAAGGTATTACAGACATCCAGGTTCTGGTTTCAGCTTGAGTTGTGGTACAGTCATTATGCAAAATATCATCAGCTTTTTTTTTTTTTTTTTCATTTTGTGCGACAGTCTTGTGTTTGAAAATATTCTCGTGTAGGGAAGCGTAAAAAAACAAAAATTTTCATCTGTGTTAGTAGTGGACCGTCAGGTTTCAAAAATCCAGTACATCGAAGTTGTTGGACAGTCAGTGTACAAAGATCATCAGCCTCTTGTAGGACTGTCAGTGTCCAAAAAGTGAAGTGATGTGAAGTTTGTAGTGTGTAGTGATAAAAGTGATATAAGTGTCGGGATCATCAGCGTCCATAAAAATAATTACATTTTGTTTAAAAATAAAAGTTTTGAGAAAATAATTACATTGTGTCAGCATCTTCTTTTCCATGCATCAACCACTGAATTCTGAAAATCCAGGTGGGTAAGTACCTTGGATTTTTGTATTGAGGCAGTGAAGTAATTTATTTCTGTAATTTAGTATACAAGTTCACATAACTGTTTTAAGTCGACATTGTTTTTTGTAAAGCTTAAAGAAGTGTGTTGTTTTGGTTTTATGTTTACAATAAGAAAGCATAAATTTTATAATTTGCATCTGTGTTAATAGATCTTTTAATATATCTCAAATGTTAATGTGTTGTGCTGAAATTAATTTTATATAATTGAATGCGTAAAAGAGAAGAGTTACTATAATTCTTAAGGTTCTAAGGTTAGCTGTTATTTTGACATATCATTTCTAAGATGTCTTGAATGCTTTAAAGGTTAGAATTTTCGGTTAAGGTGTATAAAACATTAGTTGTGTAAGAATTGAAAATTTTTTTCTGTTGAATGACTAAAAGGGGAAGGCTAGAAATCCCCAGTATCTTACATTTTAACTGTTGTCATATCAATGTTTAGTTGTGATCAAGTACATATATGTTTTTAAAATTAATTTAACTTTGATTGTATACTGTAATATACTTTTAATAATATACTATACAGAAATTTTGATGAAAGTATATTGTATTATCATAAGCATTTGAGTTTAATGTAACTGAATTTAAAGCATTTAAAAGGTTAATATTATTTGTAGTATCATAAGCTCCCAAGTAAACAAATTACATTTGAACTCAAAATGTGAATATTATAGAGGAAATTATCTTGCATTTGTGTTTAGATCTATAAGATATGATGTGAACAAAATTAAGGTTTAAATTTTACTTCTCCTTTTTGAAACTGATATTTGTTTAAAACAATTATATATAGAGAGAGAGAGCTAAACCTGTTAGATTGTTATAATAATTTGGGCTTATATCATGGCATTCTTAGCAAAAGTTAGAAAAGAGGACCTTAAAACCTTGGCAAAGATTTAGGGGAAAAAGTCAGATCCGAGCTTAGGATATTGGACCTAAGGCAGCTGATTATGATGAATAAATCATACGAGGAGGAACTTGTGAAAGACCTGTTGAAAATATCACATCAATGAGGCTTGAGAGGGGAAAAAAGGGGCAATAAAGAATTCAGAGAGAAGAGGAAGAGAGGTAGAATAGAATTAGGAGAGAAGGAGAAGAAAGGCCGGATAAAATTAGGAGAGAAGACGAAGAGAGGCAGGATAGAATTAGGAGAGAAGAAGAGAGGCAGGATAGAATTAGGAGAGAAGAAGAGAGGCAGGATAGAATTAGGAGAGAAGAAGAAGAGAGGCAGGATGGAATTAGGAGAGAAGAAGAGAGGCAAGATAGAATTATATTAGGAAAGAAAAAACGGAGTTCGAATTAACAAGATTAAGATTACTAGTTGCTAATGGAAATGATTCAACTGGTGGGAATGAAGAAAATGCGCTTAGGAAAAACTGTTACGATCTGCAAAAAATGATTCCAAAATTTGATCCTGAAGAGTTTATATCCAGTCATCTTCAGTGCCAAGCAAAGCATGTGAATCTACACCAATCAGAATGGGTTTCTGTTTTATTGACAATTTTGCCAATTGACATACTTCAGCCGATTATGCGAGAGCCAAAGCAGCAGGCTTATAACTATGCTTACATAAAAAGGATTCTGCTTAAAAGATTTAAGCTTAGTACAGAAAAAATAATCTATTTTACATCAATTCCTAAAAGAAAAATTATTTCAGCTTAGGAACATTTTGGTTGGTGAACAGCCTTCAAATTAAAATCATAAATCAAAATTTCACTGTCAGTAGTAGTTAGTAGAGTTTGAACACTATTGTGCAATAATTAGTCCATATTTATTCATGAGTGAGCGTGATATGAAATGTAAATTTTATGTATGTGGAATAGACACATGATTAAAGTAAAAATAAAACTTAACAAAAATGAAGCAATATTGATTTCATACAAAATTCTACCCATTTTAAAGGAAATCAATCTATGAAGGTCCTCTTTTTCCAAGAGGCTAATGTTTTCAGAGAATACTTTTCCAAATTACATAAGAGCTTTGCTGAAATCAGAATAACTAAAAGACTTATCCTCAAAAACCACACTGTTCAACAACTAATACAGAAGGATGTTTCAAATGATGAAGTTAAATACTGTGACCAATGTATAGATTTGAAAGAAAAAAAAAAAAAAAAAAAAAATCTGGAAAAGAAAGTATAATGAATTGCCATATTGAGTGTAGATATATTATTTTGAAAGCAGTAAATGTACTGAAAATTATTCACTTTCTTTTTGTAATCTTTCTCATACAGAAAATGGGAATTTTTTCCCTTACACAGGTACAGTTGACAAAGAAGAGAAGTTAATGGTTGAATCTGCAGTGGTCTTCTATTCATAAAATATAAATTTAGAAGTATAGCTTGCTGAAATAGTAAAATAAATCACTCTTAAAAAAAAAAAAAAAAAAAAAAAGCTATGCCCTAGAAGTAAGTGTATGCAACACAAATCGATACGTATTTTTAATGGACGTCCGGATAACAGACTTTGTACTGTACTGATAGATTGGAGCAATCATTAGCAGAAATTTTGTAATCATAGGGATCTCAAAAAAGCTTCAGGTAAAATAAGAATGGCTAAAAAATAAAATAAATTGACAAACATTTTCTTACATAGTAGGTTGAATACTTCCACAGCAGTGGCAATTTTGTTGATTGCACATACAGAATGACAAATTTTTTATTATAGAAGTTGAAAATATAAATGTGGCTTAAAATTCTACAAGAACTATTAGCACACCTTTGATAGAATCCCACCCAAATTCACAATCGATAAGATAACATTTAAGTACTCATATTTCTTTTCTGCTTACACAGCAATTATAAAATTGTTAGAAAATTTATAACTGTAACACGATACAAAACAAGTGCATACTACAGTACAAAGTCTTTAATCCGGACGTCCATAATCCAGAATAATCTACAATCCGGACCTCAAAGCTACAAACTTTCTGCGCATGCGCATAATACCTTTACGCATGCATGTTTAATGTATTACGGACGGTATATAAGTGAAGCTAAAATTATCTAATTATCTATTTCAGTTAATGTTGAAGATTGCGTTGTTCCTCAATCTTCTAATTGGATCCGGCTTTTATTTTTTGCAGACTGTTAGAGCAATTTTATAAAAGTAAGCTTGAACTTTCAATTATGTCAAAAAGAGTTTCCGATTCTGGAGCTGCCAAAGGATTTACTACAAAGCAAAAGCATGTTTCGATGTCCATCAAACAAAAAGTGGAATTGCTACAAAATATGGATAAAGGTATATCCTTTGTTTCTCTAACCATTCCGAAATCTGTTTATCAATTTCAGGCTGCTCTGCTGAGGGGAAACATTGCGGCGCGCAATGAACTGGAAGTTGATCTGTTAGCACTACCCTCATCTTCAGGGCAGATGTTTTTATTTTATTTGGCTTATAATTCCTTACTAAATGTAGTATTTCATCTCGATGTACTCCGTCTTTGATATGATTTAAATCAAATTCCTCGTCAATATAAATATCACGAATACACATCAAATAGTTTTCTGGTTGCAATTTTCTAATTTCGACTATGTGCACATTGAAAAGAAATGTTTAATAAAGTAAACAAATAAATATTAAGCTTTCTTTTTGTAAATTTTGATACCCTTTAGATCATAATTGCTCTTTGTTTCATAAATTACAGTTTCATATTTTTAATTTCACAATTTCTGCATGCCATCTTACCAGATTTAAATTGATGATCTATAATCCGAAAAAACCCCTAATGCGTAATCGCCGAAGTCCCGACAAGTCCGGATTTCGAACTTTGTACTGTATATCAAAAAGGGAATGCATACTTACTAATTTCAATAGCTTATCTTCCAAGCCCTGATTAACTTTTTGTAGCTTCTTATGACTATCATACAACCTAAAGATTTAAAGCAGAAACATGAAATCACATTAAATTTATTTTCAAATATTAAAAAAAAAAGTTTTCTGATTTAAATCCTGCAGACAGCCTACTTAAGATTCCGTTAATTGAGATAACCTAATTATTCATATGAAATTTTTCATTTATTAGATTAACATCAAAGTTGATATTTTACGAAGTTTTCAAACTTCTCTTCCCTAATTAGCTTCTTAATAATATTGAATTTGCAATTTATAAAAACTATAATTAATCTTTATTTGGAAGGGGAAAGATACATGCACAACAACATTTGGTGATAATTACTGCAATACGCAGTTTTGATTCTCAATTTATTTAGAGAATATTATTAAGTACATAAAGATGCAATAAATTGTATACAAGGTATAGGAAATTCAAAATTTAACATCCATTAATTATGCACCAAATAATGTGATAAAGCTAGTGAATTTATAAGATCATTTTTACCCGTTCACTATTGCAAGCTTACAAAGCAAACAGCAAAAAGAAAAGAAAAACCCACTTAATTAATGGAAGGTACAAAATGAAAAAAGAAATAAAATGATCATGTAAAACTTCAAATCTTCATTGGAAAGCAGACCACAACTTTATATAATTGACTATTTTTCTGAGCTTTCTGATATAAACTTTTAAACATTTTGAATAATATTTTCTTAAAATTGTAAGGCAATTAAAAATGAAAATTTATACCAAATCAGAAAGATTCAATATGTATATATGATTGCATTTAGTTTAAAACTGAAGTTTCCATTTACAAAATATTTATTACAATTACTAAAATAATGTTATTCAGTATAATTCCTATCTAGTTCAAAACATTTATTTCAGAAGAATAAGCTTAAGCACACAGATACCGACTGAAATAAAATATCCTAAGCAGTTTATTAACTATATAAAGAGTATAATCATTCTACACTGAATAATAATTATAGATTTCTCCCCCTCTGTTTCATTTATTAAAATACTCATTTATAAGACCTTATCAAATTTTGATATAAAAGTACAGGGGAAAAAAAGAGGTTCTTAATTTTAAGTAAATGTGGAATTTTTTCCCACTCTGATACAGTTAAAAAAAGTGTTTAAGAAAATATTTTTTATTTTATTTTTATTAACTTATTTTTTGAATTTTTATTTTAAAGAATATAGCAATAGATATTAATCTTCTTTCTAGCCAGGTAAGGCTATATGACAAGAAAATAGTTTTATTTACCTTTCATATTTATCTTTCCAAATAAGCAATTCTTGCTGTAAGTATTCCCATTCACCATTTGGATACTGTTCAACATGATTCAAAACATTTGTTTCCATTTTTACAATATGATATTCCCGCTCTAAGAGCTGACGTCGAAGCGATTCAATTTCTTGATGCAAATGAAGTCTAGATAAAAAGAGGAAAGTAATTCAAAAATCTAAAATAACTGCATAAAATAGAAGATATTAACTAAACAAATTAAAGTAATAATTTAATAACTCTGCAACACTTTTAGATAATTATTTGAAATTTCTTATTATTACAGAAAGAATAGTTAACAGCTGACTGCTGTTATTTACTTGCAATAAAACAAAATCAAATTTATTTCAAATACAACAAACAAACAAAAAAAGAGATCAAAGCTGAGTAAACAACCACTATATAAAACTGAGAAAAATGATATACTGAACACCAACCGTTTTACATTTAAAAGAAATGTAAAATTAAGATTTTTACTTTTGTATATCACTTTTCTCAGTGTTATATTGTGGCTATTTACACTGCTTTAACAAGTTTTCATTTTTGCTCTTTTTTTTTTTTCCTGTGTTTTCAATATAAAATTTTAAATTCTATTAATTTTGATTTTTATTTTGTAAGAAAGAAAAATTTCTACCATTTGTTGACAAAGAGCACAAGCATACTATAACAGGAAATCTGGACATTATTCAAGATCAAGAGATTAGACTGCTTATGAAAAAAGGAATAAAGGTTAAACTATTTATTCATTAAATTAAATTCAAAAATTAAATAGTTAAATTCATTAATAAATTACATTGCATAGAAAGTATTTCTACAGATATTGATAATTTTATCTTGAAAGTTGGTTCTCAACTTAGTTTACTTTCACAACTATTTAAAGAATGGAAGAATGAGATTATTACTGAGAGCAAAAAGAAAACTGAGAAAATTCAAGGATTTAAAAGAATTAAAAACTGGAAAAATTTACTTCTAAAGTTTTCACAGTTAAAAAAGCAATTTACCATAACCAAAATTGATAAAGCAAACAATAATTTCAGTATTTTATGAAAACATTCTACAATGATATAATTGAAAATGAATTGAAACTTTATTTACCTATAGTATCTGCAAAAATAAAGAAAGAACTGTTATTAACAAAATTTCTGCTTTTCACAAAAAATGGAGAATTTCTCACTTTGCTACAAATAACAGATTTGCAAATCTTTATGCCTTAGCAAAATTTCATAAAAGTCCTATAATATTTAGATTTATAGCAAATAATAGCAGAAAATTCAAGAAGAATTTTGAAAATATTTTTACCAATCTGCTCAAAACTATTTGTAATACGGTTTTTGAAAAGCTAAAGATGACAAAAACTTCTTCTGGATTATTAACAACAACTTGAAAATCATTGTAGAAGTTAATCTTAAAATTTACAATATTAACTGCTATGAGATTGAAAACCTCTACATGCCTCTGCCACTCAAAGAAATTTATGAAAGTCTTTTAGAAATAACAGAATTTTTTCTTGGTACTTAATATTCTGGATTTACAAAAATGAAAAGAATTTCTACATTTTTCGCTATACAATAGCTACTATATTAAACATTCAAACTTTCTTTATATGCACACACAAGGCATTACAATGGGAAGTTCACATTCCACTCATGTTTGTAACCCGCTTCTATTTTCTAAAGAATTTAAATTTTTTAAAAGCCTTTCTGATAACGATTTCAGTAAATTTGAACAGCACACTTATAGATACATTGAAGACATTATTACTTTCAAAAACTTTAATCTCATGGAAAATGGCAACATCTACCCAAATTGTCTAAAACTAAATAAAACCAATAAAAAAACCAAACAGAAATACAGTCAAAAGTCTTTAATCCGGACTCGTTGGGACTTCGGCGTTTCTGGATTATCGATTTTTCCGGATTATAGATGATCAGTTTAAATCTGGTAAGATAGCATGCAGAAATTATGAAATTAAAAATATGAAACTTTAATTTATGAAATAAAGAGCAATTATGATCTAAAGGGTATCAAAATTTACAAAAAAAAAAAAAAGCTTAATATTTGTTTATTTTATTAAACATTTCTTTCAATGTGAAAATAGCCGAAATTAGAAAATTGCAACCAGAAAACTATTTGATGTGTATTCGTGATATTTATATTGACGAGAAATTTGATTTAAATCATATCAAAGATGGAGTACATCGAGATGAAATACTACATTTAGTAAGGAATTATAAACCAAATAAAATAAAAACATCTGCCCTGAAGATGAGGATAGTGCTGACAGATCAACTTCCAGTTCATTGCGTGCCGTGATGTTTCCCTTCAGCAGAGCAGCCTGAAATTGATAAACAGATTTCGGAATGGTTAGAGAAACAAAGGATACGCCGTTATCCATTTTTTGCAGCAATTCCACTTTTTGTTTGATGGACATCGAAACATGCTTTTGCATTGTAGATCCTTTGGTAGCTTGGAAACTCTTTTTGACATAATCAAAAGTTCAAGCTTACTTTTATAAAATTGCTCTAACAGTCTGCAAAAAATAATAAGCTGGATTCAATTAGAAGGTTAAGGAACAACGCAATCTGCAACATTCACTGAAATAGATAATTAGATAATTTTAGCTTAGCTTGTACCATCTGTTATACATTAAACGGGCATGCACAAACGTATTATGCGCTTGCATAGATGCATGTGTAAAGGTATTATGCACATGCGCAAAGGTATTATGCGGATGCGTTGACGCATGCGCAGAAAGTTTGTAGCTTTGAGGTCCAGATTATAGATCATTCCGGATTATGGACGTCCGAATTAAAGACTTTAGACTGTATTTCACACAACTTGCCAAGTGACATTTGCATGCCGTATTTTGTAGTTGTGACTCAATTTTTCCCGAGTTCATATATTTTTTTTGCACCAGAGTGCATATATGAGTGAGTGTGGGTGTGTGTATCAGAGAATTACCAGGATTACATTCATAAAGGTCAGCTTTTATCTTATATTCCCTAGAGTAAATGACAAACAATGCAAAGGAAAAAAGGAAGGATAACACTTTGCAATATTAATATAAGAAGAAACTTAAAAAATTATAATTGTCAAAAAAAAATTAAAAACAGTAACGGTTTACCATTAGGTAAAATTAACTGGTGTAATACAGTCAAAAGGCGTTAATTCGGACGTCAAAGCTACGCATGCGTGTAAGACCTTTACGGCAGCGAATATGCGTGAGCGCAAAATACATTTACGAATGTGCGTTTAATGTATTAACGGACGGTATAAGCTAAGCTAAAATTATCTAATTCAGTTAAATGTTGCAAATTGCGTTGTTCGAATTGGATTCGGCTTATTATTTTTTGTAGACTGTTAGAGCAATTTTATAAAAGTAAGCTTGAACTTTCGATTATGTCAAATAGAATTTCTGATATATATTTACTAATATGTAAAGGATCTACAAAGCGAAAGTATGTTTCGAAGTCCATTAAACAAAAAGTGGAATTGCTGCAAAAAATGGATAAAGGCATATCCTTTGTTTATCTTCAATGCCGTGGCGCACAATGAATTGGAAGTTGATCTGTCAGCACTATCCTTATCTTCAGGGCAGATGTTTTTATTTTATTTGGCTTATAATTCCTTACTAAATGTAATATTTCATCTCGATGTACTCCGTCTTTGATATGATTTAAATCAAATTCCTCATCATTATAATTCGCTTCCGATAGCGAAGAAAGTGACACAGTGGTTATTGAAAACGAAAAAATTTCGATTGACAAATTAGTCGGTATTCTTGACACAGCAATTATAAGACTTGAACAGCGGAACTTTGTAATTGAACAAGAAATTATGTCTGTTTATAGAATTAAAGAGAATGGATTATCACATAAAAAACGAAGCAACTTAAACAACTTACATTGAAAGAAATGTTTAATAAAGTAAACAAATAAATATTAAGCTTTTTTTTTTTTTTTTTTGTAAATTTCGATACCCTTTAGATCATAATTGTTCTTTATTTCATAAATTACGGTTTCATATTTTTAATTTTATAATTTCTGCTTATTATATTCCATCTTACCAGATTTAAACTGATTATCTATAATCCGGAAAAATCGATAATCCGGAATCGCCGAAGTCCCGACGAGTCCAGATTAACGACTTTTGACTGTACTAGAGTATTTACAAATTCAAGATTTTAAAAAATATAATATATATCTATGATTTACTGTGTCCTATTGAAGATTTCAAAGGAATAAACACTTTAAAATACATAAATAATTTTTAGGTATGGTCCTCAGAATACTACAAAGCCTCAAGTCTATGATTCTGTTATCTCACTTTAGCACAAAAATGACAGATAAAAATTATAAGGAACTTTGGATGGTTGTTACCTTATGGAGATTTCACTGTACTTTTATATAAATACTTTGATATATTTAAGGAAGTTTATTAAGCTTGATTAACACTATGAGAAAACTTACGTATCAGGATCAGTATTTCCTTCCTTTAGAGTAGAACAGGATCTAAAGAATCAACATATCAGTTTACACATACATACATCAAAATTCAATTTACAGAATGCAAAAAGATAATATAATTAGAATATAAGCTTAGTCTATATTTAAGGGTGCCCCTTGGATTATTGCGAGTTGTTTCATTTTATTGCCACGTTGATGTGTTTTATTTATTGCCAAGTTATTTCATTTATGGAAACCTGAGTAGTTGAATGTTATGAAAATCGTATTTTGACTTAATTGGTTGTGTGACTGTAGTGAATTTGACTAATGGGAAAAGATTTCTTAATAGGCTATCACTCCTAGGGTCACGCGTGGCTACGCGGGGCAATTCTGAGAAATGAGATTCTAGTAGCACTGCTTTAAGCGGGAGGCTTCCAAGAAAGGCGCAACATGTCCAAGCAACATTTTGAAACTTTCCCAAAAATGTTCCGTCTGGAGACATGTTCCTCGTATGTTCACCCAATCAGATGAAAGTTCTGCTTCTGAAGGATCACAGGTAACTTTCAATATGGCTATGGCTCTCACTAGGAAGTTGTGGACGGTCGAAATAGAGGACAATTTAATTATTGCCGTTTTGTTGTAATATAACTGCCCGAGTCATTTTCAAAATGTTTATATATTCATTAAATATATAATCGTGGAAATTTCAGGGTTGACAGTATTTTATGACGTTCTTGCATTTCGAATTTGTTTACAAATCGTTCATCCCTAAATTTGTCGTATTTCATTCTGATTGTGTATTATCACTGTTATATAAAAAAAAATTTATTTCTTAAATTTAAGTTGAATAATTTTTTAAAATCCGCGTGGCTTTCCTCCTAATTACTTATCTTTTAAATTGTTAATTGCATAATTAGTGATGCATTTTAAACAGCATAAAAAAAGAAAAGCATAGTTTATTTAATAATGAGAACACTCATTAAATTTGCCTATTATTTTCATGTTATTAATTAAATACTTTTTAGATTATAAATACATTAGAAACTATACTTTTATTGTAAATGCTACATACTGAAACAATGGAAATTTATGGATTTATTATTATGCATGATGAAAAACATTCATTAATATAAATCAACAAATTCTAAACCATAGCATCTCTCTATCTGTATGCAAATATATGATTTATTAGATGTGTGTCTATGTATATATATCTATGTATGAATACAAAAATGAACATTGCCAAAAAGTTTATTTGGAGTTACTTCTAATTCATATAACGATCATGTAATTGGCAGCAACTGTAGTCATCGGTTCTTTGCAAATTATTATGGATATGTAATAATCAGCTGAAAAATAATTGATGAGCATTTGAATACTAAAGAGTGTACACGTTTTGTTTTTGGGTTAATTCATAATTATATCATATATATGATACATAATATAAATATGACAAATAAATAATAAGAAATGTAACAGCTGTGCATTTATAACATTTGATTACTTAAAACAGTGCACAACTGATTATCACCTTCAGGTGTGTTTACATAATGAATTGTACTTTCCAATTATGTGCACAGGCCTACTAATGGCCGAAACATCATTGAACACTGGTAGTTCTATTTGAAGTTAAAATGCCGTGAATGGGCTGGCTACATTGGCGTTTACTTGGTTTTCTCCATTTGTAACTGGTATATGAGCCAGTTTTAAAAAATCTTCCACAAAGGGATCCCTCCTGCGAGGCAGATATTTCTCGAGGCTTTGCCGTAATCACATAAAACAAACTCATTATGTGCACCTCCTAATTTCTAGAGTTGGTATAATTATTGTGTTTTAGGTATATTACCCAGTGTTCTATGGGACAGTAAACAACTTGCATATGTTTGATTGCTCATGTATTCATATGCTTTATTTAAACTTCATTTTGCTGAATAGTATCTGCTGGCTGTGAGGATGTAAATATCAGCCATATAGATTTTTTCCATAGAAGGTTTTTTTTTTTTTTTTTTTTTTTTTTTTTTTTTGTCTGTTTGTTTATATTTATGGACAGAACAGTAATTATGAGCCATAAAGTTAGTCAAGGAAAAGCTTTCACCAGGTCACAAATTTTCCAGTGAGCCATCAAATTTTCATTAGAATGCAGACATCAGAAAATACACATAAGTAATGTCTGATAAATAGACCTATCCAGCACACGTTTTAAAGTAGTCTTAATGAATTTGGCTATTACTGCTGTAATTGATTGCTATAACCAGAAGTGTGTTTATCTGTTTTACTTGAACTGCCAGAGTCGAGATCAAAGTGATTAACTTGATAGCAATCCCTTTCTATTATCTTCCATTACTAAAGTTTAAAAGGAAAAGAGTGTGAGTGATACAAAACAACAAGAATCAAACGTCACTTGAAAGGAAAGTCACTTTCGCCAATCTGAGCGATAACTGATTCTTGTTTGGCTTTCAGCCTGTTTACCAAGTGAAGATGGTAACCCGATTTCATGGAAGAGCGATTCTCAGAACTGTTCCCCCAAACGTTTTGTTCCGGCAACAAATATTGTATGTGAGAACAGCATTAATGGCTTGTTTGTGTGTTGGATGTTGGTTAGGAAGTATGTTGCTTATTTTGTGGTTTACATGGCAAAATGGCTGAATGTGGTAAGATTAATTTGAAGTATCTGTATGGTTTAGAACGAAGGGGGGAAAAAGGCATTAATTAACTGGTGTGTATATGAGGTTAACTTAGTAGCCAATTATAAGTGTTCTTTTTGTACAAATGCACATGGTCGAATGTCAGAGGATATCGGCACTACGGTGGATATATTTTACTCTTATTTTTGTGAATTTATGTGCTGACGCCAGTACAGATTCTAGTTCAGATAATTTTAGGAAGTTTTTGGATGCTGTTAAGGAATTTTGTGTGCCATAGACTGAAGACATGGAAATTTCTAAATAAGGTAAGTGGATATTGCCTTTGTCTAGTGCTTAGATGCTACAAGACAAATTTCCTTTATGTAATTTCATTGTCTGATTTAAAATGCCATTTATTGAGATTATATATCTTTTGTTTGGCTCTAGAGTAGATGTGGCTGCTCCTTTGACTTTTTCAAGTGAAAATAGATTGATGTGTACATGGACAAAGTCGAGGCAGTGCACAATACCAAGTTTGTGTATTTCTCTGATTTTTTTTTAAGTGAAAATAAGTTGATGTGTACATGGATACCAAGTTTGTGCAATTCTTTGACTTGTTATTTTGGCTTTGTGTAGCAACAATTTTTAGTGGTAAAATCACCGCTACATAAAGCCAAAATAAGTCAAAGAACAGCGCAAACTTGGTGTCCATCTACTGCCAAAAATCGCCAGTTTTCGCTAAAGGGTATGTGTAAATATATTTCTACTGAATATAACACATGGCCATGCATAAATGATATAATATAGCCTAAAAGAAATGTTGGTAAAATGGCAAATTTGGCAATTTCGTTGTTAGAAATTGTGAAAACAGAATTCCTCTTTTACTTTCATTATGTTGGAATAATTTGCTGAAGTTTCAGTTATTCTTGGGCAGTCATGATTATGGCCGGTGTTCAATTCTGAGCAACTGTTTGACATTTTGCAGTGAAAATAGATCTCTGTGTACATGGGGGAGTACAGCACAAAAAATTATAAAAGGATTTCTCGAAAAAGGTAAGTATTTTATATTTTAATGTATCATATATGATACATATCATAATGTATCATATACGATATATCATATATGATACAGATTATAATCTGTATTTTAAATTGCTAAAATGTGTTTTCTTGTCATATGTTGATAATATTTGCCAACTTACAATAAACATTAACAGCTTTGCAGTCTTTATAAAAGAATAGCCAAAATTGTCAATCTGCGTACAATAAATAACAATTACCTTAAATATTTTTGGTACTATTCCGTTTTGAGGACCGTAAAAAAATTGCAGCGAAAATGTATGCGCAAAAGCACCAAATCTAGCAAACACGTCCATTTAACAGCCCGCCAAATCTAGCGTACGTGCTGATTTCAGATTGCGCAAGTTTATATAATTCTATATTTCTTAAGACGCTATTGAAATACTACTTTAATTTTTAAATCCTTTTTTTGATATCCTACGGATTTAACAATTTGGGAATTGTTAAATCCGTAGGATATCAAATTTGGGAATTGCCTGTTAGGAAAAGTCTGCAATAGAATTTTGAGGAAAGTGCAGAATCACCCACTGCTTGACGCGTTTTTAAGAATTGCACATACTCGGTATCCATGTACACATCGACCTATTTTCACTTTAAAAAAAAAATTCCAGAATTGCACAAAAATGGCACTGTGCACACTTTTGACTTTATGTACACATCGACCTATTTTCACTTAAAAAGTAAAAGAAAATTGACAAAAATCCAATTGTTTTTACCCTTGTAAAAAGTGGCAAACAAATAAGTGGGCAATTCTGCACTTTACCGAGAATTTTTTCAAAGAAAAGGCATCATTCATTATATAAATTATGTTTGAATAACCAACGAGATGAAAGTATGTTTTAGCGATAACTCGGTAGCGAAATAGCGATGCAGGCATCCATTCAGTTATGTTTAGCAATTTTTATATAAATTATAAAAATGATCTGAAATTATTTTTGACAGCACTGGGCATCAATAATAGTTTAGCGATTTTTTTACGGCCCTCAAAACCGAATAGTACCATATTTTTTCTTTCCTGACTGCACTGTTACAAAATGTAAACTCAGCAAACAATTACAGAATTTCAATAAATCATAGATGAAGGCTTTTAAAAACAAAACCAATAAGACTTAATGGGATATTCAAATATAAATCTGTAATAAGTAAATTCATTTGGCACAACATGCATTTCAGTTTACATGAACACAGTACAAAGTCTAAAATTTGGACATCCAGTATCTGGAATGATCTAATATCTGGACCTCCAAACTACCAGCCAAAAAGCAAATAAAATAATTTAAATTCCCTTATAGAATCTAAGAATGGAAAATATAATACTCAACAAAAAGAAGGCGGTGTGCATAAATGTGATTTTTCTTTTGACTAACTGACATTTTTGTATATAACTTTCAAACATACGGCCAGGGAGATATTCCATAATCAGGTACAGGTT